GCGGGGGGAGCCCAGTCTGGTGTAAGCCAGGTCCCCGGGGAAGCTGAATGCCAGATCCCAGGGCAAGCTGACCGCCAGGTCCCCGGGGAAGCCGACCAGCAGGTCCCCGGGGAAGCCGACTGCCAGGTCCCCAGGGAAGCTGACCACCAGGTCCCCGGGGAAGCCGACCGCCAGGTCCCCGAGGAAGCCGATCGCCGGCCCGGCCACACTGGAGAGTGAGTGCTCAGTCGGCCGCGCACGGCTGGGCCCCACCGCCCATCGCCTTTCTTAACTACGGTGACGTCCCGCGCCCTGCTCTTTCACAAACGCATTTTAAAGAAGGCGATTCTCACTCCGAGGGAGCACGGAACCATTCCCCATTTCTGGCAAGAATCGCACGATGAACTCCCTGCCCACGAGAACACCTGCCCTTTTCGCCCTTTCCAGAAGGACGTGCTCACCACTCCAAAGAAGCCAGCCTGGGCAAACGCCGCTCTCCTCGCTAACTGCATCACGTCGTCCACCTTGCGGGTGTACGTCTCCACTTCGGCCATTTCTTTCCCAAAAGCGCGGACGGTTCGGATATTTCCGATGCGTTCCTCGGCTAGCTGGGAGGGCAATGGACATGCTTCAGGGGGGCAAGGTCACAGGTCGCGATTTCCAGAGGCACCATCGGAACACGGTTCTCCTTTTCAGGACGCTATCGACGCAGAGCTGTGCTATGTGGCTACGTCAAAACAGGTCACAAAGCAGAGTGTTCAGAACCACCTCACGCTCGAAACCGCGCGTCTGTGCGCGTGCAGGTCGGGGATGAGGCCGACGGGTAAACGGGAGAGGAGGTACGGGCATAAAAATGGGTCTGGATGCAGAGAAAAAGGCAGTTCTGAGAGGCAGGAGTCTCTGTGGGATTTTTTTCTTCACCTTTTCCATTTTCTGTTAGAGACATACATGGCTTTGTAATATGAAAATGTAACGATTATTGTCAATTTTTTAAAAAGATGCTACCGGACGGCACTGGAAAGCTACCTTCAGTAATTAACGAAGGACAGAGTGTCACGCAGTGTTCTGAAGATGTGATTAGCTTTCTCGTCCCACGAGGAGCAGTGGTGGTGAGAACCGACACGTGCCCACGAAGCCCGGGTAAGCCGGGCCGGCTCCGACGCCCGGGTGGCCCTCTGGCCGAGAAGGCAGCGTGTTTTAGGGAGCCAGGATCCAGGGGTCCCGCGTGAGGAGGAGTCAGTACTTTCTGAGCGGCCTGAGTGCGTGGCCTGAGGCCTGCCCACCAGTGCCCCGGCCGAGGCCACACAGCGGAGGCCACGCCGGTAAAGGGGCCTTTACCTGAGTGGCCTGTGCCAGGGAGTCCTGAGTGCGTTTGCTCAGCTTCCGCAGGTACCGCCCGTACAGCACGGCCAGGATGGACACCGGAGGCACCACGCTTAAGACGAAAGCGGCCAGATGAGGCGAGACGAAAAACTGGAAAGCAGAGCCGGAGGCGCTTGTCACGCGGAGTAGCGGGAAGTTCCCGCCGCCCACGGGAGCGCGTGCGGTGCGGCCCGGCCTGCAGGGGCCTGGGTCGGTGGACCGTGCGGGCCGCCCATCCGCACGGAACCCCGCAAAGCTTCCACACGCCACACGGGAGGGCCGGCTGCCCGGAGCGGGGGACACCGCACCCCAGGGCGCTGCACGGCCACGAGGCCAGGCCCTTCGACGGCAAACCAGCGGGACCGTGACGTCCCAGGAGCACGCCCGCGGTCAGGCAGGAGCTGCGGGGGTCTGAGCTCAGGCTCACTCTGCCTCAAGGACACCGGCGACCAGGAGATGCATCTCACTGAAATGACCAAGATGGCAGAGACCAAATCCCCGCCTCGTCCGACAGCAGCTGAGGAGGGGGCGGGCGGAGGCCGCCGCTGACCGGTGCAGGAGTGCGACGGGGTCTCCGCGGCAGCGTCGGGGAGACACCTGACTACGCGGTGGGTTCCTGCTAACCCTGCCGTCTGCTGACTTTTAAATGACACGCGCGTCTCTTCCACTAGTTACTAAAATCTGCCAAGTCACCCGTCACTCTGCACAGCAAGGGGAACCAGGACGAGGCTCTCTGAGGTGCAGCGACGGGCAGGACAGGTGGTCACACGCTCACTCACCACTGGGCGCCCCCCACGGGGCCGCTACACAGGCACCGGGAGAGCGGGAGCCACCCCAAGGGGGCGGGGGGTGGGGGCGGGTGGCGA